GAATTTAGAATAAGGGAGAATCTATAGGATCACACAACTCAGCAGCCTCCATTTTGGGCTGAGAAAACCCGAGCTAGGTGGTGGCCTGGACAGGTTGTGGCCTGGACAGGTCGTGCTAGAGGCAGGTGGATCAGGACCTGGCCCGGGCTCAGGGCCGTCCCTGGCTTGGTGTTGGACTCGACAGGTTACCAGGTCTCCTCTTTGGGCTGACCTTGCGCTTGGCTCCTGCTGGCTCTCAGAACAGCACTTCCACAGCTCAGGGCCCCGCGGATGCTCTCTGATCACATCCAGGCCCAAGCTGTCCTCACAAGCGCTCCCTGTGTGCAGGCTGCACTCCCCTGACCCCAGGCCTGCCTCTTCTGTGGCTTGGGGAGTCCCCAGAGCCGGAGCTCTCAAGGCAGCTGCTTCTCCTCTGCGCCCCTGGAGGCGCCTCAGCAAGCAGTGTGCAGGGCAGCCAGGCAGAGCACCGTGGTAGGCATGGCCGTGTTGGCCACCTGGGCAGGGCTCAGCTTTCAGGTGGTGACGGGAACAGGGTTGCAGCCAGCGAGAGCACCCAGAGGGATGTGAGGGGCTGTGGACAGCACCCCACGCCCGCTGTCCCTGTGAGCCCTGCGGTGGCTGAGGCGTCAGGCTCACTCTCGAGTGCAGCAAGAAAAGCTGAGCTGATCGTTGAGGCCTGTCCAGCAGCAGGGAGAAAACCTGAGTCCCTGGCAACATCAGCCTCTGAGGTCCTGGAGGATCCCCGCCCCTGTGCCAGCAGTGGGGAGGAGGGGAAAATGGGGCAGGGTGGGCTGAGCCGGGCTGGCCACACAGAGTGTAGCCTCCCTCCCCCGCATATCCCCTGCCTCAGAGCCGCCCTCTGGACTCCAGCGCGGTCCCGGACGACCAGGCAGGGAACATCATGCACCCAGCCGGGAGGGCGTCACCAGGCACAGCCAGGCGGGACGGGGCCCAGTGGCCGCGCACACGGCACAGGCTGGCTGGCTCTTGGCAGCTGTGAGAACGTTTCTCCCGGCAGCAGGCACTGGCAACCTAGCCCACCAGGACGGGACCGAGAGCTGCCCAGGGCGCTGCCCCTCCTGGCCCTGCACTCCCAGAGCCCCCAGGAGGGCAGAGCTCTGGGTGTGCTGCCCAGGCCTGGAGAGAAGGCCCCCCGGGTGAGAGGAGCACGGGGTGGGGATGGTGACTTGGGGCAGAGCTCCACGGCACAGCTCCATATCCAAGTCGGGGGGCGTGGGGGGACAAAGACTCTGAAGAGCAGCGCTCAGCAAGGTCGAGGCCCGGCGGTGGAATGTGTGCTCCCGCCCTCGCAGGGCCCAGGCCAGTCCCCTCCGAGCAGCAAAGGCTCCTCTGCCTGCCCCGTCCTTGCCTTGTGTTCATGAGGGGACGTCCCCTCCTATCCCAGCACACACTCTACTCTGGTGGGAACAACCGGAACCTAAGACACAACAGCCTGTCCGCTTCCAGGGGCAGAAGGCCCCTGCGAGACGATGTCCTCAACCCAGGCACAGGTCCTCCCGGGACCCAGGCCACAGTCGGAAGCCGAGGGAGGCACACTGAAACTGGGGCTGAGACTCGGTGGCTCGGGTGACCCAGGGTCCAGGGCACATCAGGGCCAGAAATCATGGTGCAATGGGAGCACGAAGCCTCCTCAGACAGTGCGCCTGCCACAGGCGGCAGCTTTGGGCTTCAGCTCTGTCTCCAGTGTGTGGTCAGAGTCTGTACACAGCCCACAGAACGAGTTTTCCTTCCTGGGTGCTCAGGAGTGATAGAGCTTGTTCATGCAGGTCATAGCTTGCGATCTTTCATGTTAGGAATCAAAACTGAGAATGATCTGCTTGAGGCAGGGTCTCGCTCCGCAGCGCAGGCTGGTTTGGACTCACTGGGTAGCCCAGGCTGGCTGTGAGCTCAGAGACGGAGAAGTTCTTCAAACGCAGGCAGACCAGCTGCCACGCTGTCACTGTGCTGTGGTGGAAGATGGCAGCAGCACACGTCGCACCCGCTCTGGAAAGCCCCTCTCTGCGCCCTGAGAAGACAGAAACGCAGACCCTGCCTGACGGTTAGGAAGCTGCCTGTGGCCTTGAGAACTCCTGACAGGATTTCCAGAGCCCAAGCCAGGAGCTGCAGCCCCACGCGGAAGCCCAGCAACGCCAGTCCCAGTTGCCCAGAGAGACCCTGCGACCCCATCTCCTCGCCCCTCCCAACAGCCTCCTGGCCTGTCTGTCCCCGCTGTGTGCCCTGTCCTGTCAGAAGAGGTCTCCTCCTTACGAGCAGAGCCTGAAGTGTGTCTCCTCATGCAGATTTGCACTGTGAACCCTGCCTCTGTGTGATCACTAACTTCTCCTGCTAGTCCTTACCCACCCCTCCTGTGCTATCGCTGTCCTGTTTGTCTTCCTCCTCTCCTGCCCATATCTACTGCTTTTCCTTTCAAACACCAAGCCCCCGCCTGCTATCGCGGCCTTGATTCTGCTGTTGGGAGAGGCCCCTCCACAAATGTACACAGCTCCCGGGATTATCAAGAGCCCACGTCATCGCCGGGCCAAGGGGTACACACACTAGCCAAAGTAGCTTGGTCTGATAATCCGTCCTTGGATTCACTTAGGAGCAGAGCTGAGACTCAACTAGGCTCTGTTTCAGTTCCTTCTCTCTTCTGTGAGCATCCATGTCTCCAGGAAGGTATATTTGTTCTTTACCTAAGCAAGGTCAGTCCTTGTTGCCCACAGCCAAAGAAGTTTAATGCTTTTTATTTTATTAGAGCATGTGTGCAGTACATGCAGGTCACAGGCACTGGTCCTTTTTTTTAAATTTCCCTTCCCTCCTCCTAAGTCCCCTTCTCCATCTTCATTCTTGTTGATGTTGTTCATCTCGGCTCTTGTTATGGCACACAATGTGTACAGTCACGAGGGTACTAGGCTCCTGTACTCGGTGTGTCTTTATTCTACTTCTTCCCCTCCCCCTCACTCCTCGACCTGGGTCCCTTGGACCCCTTCCCCTTTGCGAGAGATCCATCCCCTGTCCCCTTCTACCCATCCTTTATTATTTCTTTATTTGTACGTTGTCTCAGATGAGAGGATACCACACTATATTTAAGTTTGTGTGTCAAAACAAACAACAGGACTGGGGATGTAGCTCAGCGGCACAAGCGCCTGCCAGGCAAGGGCAAGGTCCTGAGTTCTATTCCTGGTACCAAAAAAAAAGCAACAACAGCCCTTGACTCTGAGACACAGAAGTTCTATCATTCTTGACAGTGTCTTGAGTCCAGAGTGATGCGTTTGCCCTCTGAGCGCTTAGCACAAAGCAGCCTTGGCCTTAGCCTCTGGGTGAGTAGTGCAGCCCAAGCACAAGCATGTCCCTGATTTGGGGGAGCAGAAGGGGAACTGGGGGAGAAAGGAAGGGGAGGAGGGGGCCAGCTGGGGGAATGGAGGGTGGAGCCACCAGGCTCTGAGGATTCCCCACACTCCTTGGCCCTTGACTTCCAAGAAGAGCTTGAACGTGGCGTTGTCGGGGTCTGCAGAGAGCATGCGGTCACCTCAAGAGGCCTGGTGCTTGGTCATGGCTCCTGGTCATGTCCTCTGACGTGGAGAACAATTACCCCTGTGTGCCTGACGCTAAGGACAGAAACCCGCCCTGATTCCACACCCAGGTGCGGCCAGCCTTATCAAAGGTAAACTCAGTAATTGGCTCCCAGGTCCAGTGATACCAGAAAACAAGTTATTAAAGGAGAAACTGACATGCTGTCACTTTGCCCGACTGGCCTGGCCATGTGCCTCAGGGGCCTGGAGGAGGCCAGTCAGAAGCCCCTCAGGAAAACCAGGACCTCGACCCCAGCCTCCTCACCAGGGTTCTTCACGCTGTAAGTCACCGAAGAGGTGAGATCCATTTGTCACTTCTCCTCCAGGTCCTTGGAAGGAAATGGAGTTATACACCATCAAATAAACCACTAACTTCAAAAGCTGGGTGGGATGGTTACCTCCTTAAAAGGTGGAATAAATTTCAGATGACCTCAATTAAAAATCAAAACATGTTTAAGGGGCACAGGGCTGGGAAGTAGCTCAGTGCCACACACATCTGCACACATGAAGCCCTGGGTTCTGCCTCAGACACCACAAGAAACGAAAGCCCTCCCCCAAGACACCTTCCCACTCAACACATGGACATACCGGGTGACAGCCGTCCGCAGAGGGCGACATAAGTGATGGCTGAGGACATGCCAGAGCCCCTTGACTCAGGAGGCTGGCATGGGCCACACTGTCACATGCAGCAGAGCCTTTGGCCTCCAAAATGCAGTAGGAGGTCCAGCCCAAGGGAATAGCCAGAGCGTGGCTCCACCTCCTTCCTACGATGGCCAGCTTGTGAAGGGGAGAGGTTATGTGGGTCACAGTTTCTGGGTCTCAGTCCATGCTCAGCGGCCCCGTTGCCCTCAGGCTCATGGGAGGCAGTGCAGGCAGTGGGCACATGTGACAAAGGAAGCTGCTCACCCAAGGCTAGAATGAGAGAGCAAGGGCCAGGCTCCCCCACCCACCCCTCAAGTCACGCCCCTGGACCCCACCACTCGGAAGCTTTCCGCCCGGGCCTCTGGAAGATGCTGCAGACCTGAGTGAGGGCCGTCGTGCCCAGCATTCAGAAGAAGCTCAGATCAGTTGCTCCTGCTTCCTGGAGCTCTCCTTCGGGTCAGACAGGGCCAGGTGTGGCGTGGAGCAGCTGGGGAAGAGATGTCTGCGGAGTGAGTCTGCACTGAGTCCCCGCCCGGCCCCACAGAGCAGTCAACAACTGCCCCTCCTCTCCCCCACCGAGGCTCGGGTCCAGGGGTCACGGTCAGAGCCCCACCAGGGAACCAACAGAACCGGCCCGGCTGTTGGGTAGGCGCCACCCACAGACTGGCTCGGGACAAAAGCGTGGGTGTTTCCCATGGAGCAGCACAGACCCCCAGCTAGCCAGAAGCAGAGGGAGCCCCTCATGTGGAGCATGTGTCCCCAAGGAACAAGAAAGGCCAGGGAGCCTCAAGCAGGACACCCAAGTGCGCCGTAAGAGCAAGACCCCGCCAGGCCCAGCCGCTGGCACGGCCACAGTCCCTCATCCCCCTTTCCATCTGTGGAGTCTGATCCTGCAGCCGGGGTGCAGGCAGAGGTAAGGCCACGGGGAAGCAGAGTGCAGCCCCTCCTGCCCCCCACCAGGCTCGATGGGCGCAGGGCACTGCTGTGGCTGACACAGCCATTGGTGCTGTCAGCTGGCTGAAAGGCACAGGTCCCACCCCACGCCACCAGGTAATGGGAAATGATCCCCCTGAGGCACCCCGAGCATTCAGGAGGCAGACGAGTCACAGCCCTCCTGGAGGGGCCGGATCCCACCCGGATGGGGGTTGCCCAGGCACAGGCTGCGGCAAGCCACTGTCCACCACGAGAGAGGCTCTTCACAGACAGGCGCCTGCCGGGCACCATGTTCTGCCCGTGCTGTTCACCACTGTGCCTGCAGTTTATCCGCACAGCTCTCCAGTGTCTCACACACGCGAAACACTGCCTGGTCACACGAGACACCTGGAAGACGCTGGGTGGACACAGACCTGGTGCCTCTTCTGCGCAGGAGACTGCTGTGCTGTGGAGAGGAGACAGCAAGGGCTCAAAGCCTGCACAGCAAGCCCACCGCTAAAAGCTGCTTGTGCACGGAATGCTCAGAATACACTTCTGGTCCTCTGGAACTTGAGAAGCACTTTTCCAGAAGCCGGCATCCATCCCGAAGGAGAGTCCCCTCTCGGCCTCCGAAGGACTCCGCCCTGTGCCACCTGTGTGTTGGGCTGTGCCCTGCGGAACAGCAAGACAGGACCTCCCTCTGCCTGACCCGCCTGCCCATGGTGCTGGAGGCGCAGATGTGGGAATCTAACACACAGGATTTGTCCTCCTTTTCTCTCACCTTCCTTTATATTTCGAGCTCCGTCTTCCGCAGCCAGCGTTGCAGTGGGTGACGAAGGAGAATAGCAAGGGAAGGAGACAGCAGGAGAGAGACTTAACCCCCGCCCCTGGTCCGAGGATAAGAACTAGGCCAGAGAGAAGTCGGGAAGAACTAAAGACCATGGGCACAGCTAAGGAGAAATATGGCCCGGGAGACGGAATCGTGTGAGCTGTGTCGGGCGGGAAACGGAGGGAGGAGAAGACACAGCCCAGAGAGCACAGCCCAGGGCTGCAGAGAGTCACGGGAACTGAGAAGGAGGGAGGCGCCACTCCCCCCGGCCACGGAGACACCGCTCTTGCACTCTCAAGCCCCGGGCACCTGGGCAGCTGCGGTGGAAGCCTCCCCGGCAGAAGCATGTGCCGGGGCCTGGGCACCACCCTCCTTACGCCTGCAGCCCAGGGTCTTGAGGCTGCTCCTCCCACCTGTACCCAGGACAGGCCCTGGCCAACGCTCAGGAAGCCATGGTAGCCACGGGCTTCCTGGGGGACAGGGGCTGCCGCGTAGACTCTTCCCCAACCCCAAAGTGCGCAGGTTTTCCCCAGCTCTCAGAAAGGCTGGGGATTCCCAGAGGGGACACAGGTCAGAAATGGAAGATCCACGCGAGTAGACCTGAGCACACACCAGGCCGGACCAGAGTGAGCAGGATGGACCAGGCCCAGAGCCGCAGCGGGCTCCCCCCAGGTATGGGGCCAACGCCCCCCACACTTCACAACCCTCATCCTCCTCACGAGTCCCAGACCAGTGGAAACTCAAGCTTTTTGTTTTGTGCTTTCATTTATCCATTCAATAAGTACGTCGATCCTGTCAAACGGGAAGATGACGGAAGAACCGTTCGCTGAGATTGGGTCACACGGCCGATGCTGGCTGGAAGATAAGACACGCTCTTCCTTTGACACAGCACCGGAGGCCTCACGCTCACCCCAAGCAGGTGCCACTGTGCAGCTAGGACCACGGAGGCTCTGGGAAGGAGGCTGGTTATTCATTAAAGCAAGAAGAGAAAAGTGCTGGAGGAGCAAGGCAAATTCCCTGTGCTACGCGAGTCCCTTTGGACTGAGTGCCCTGGAGGACTCAGTCCCAGTCCTGCTCCATGTAGCAGGAGGGCTCCGGTGCCTGTCTGGGGAAGCGCCTCTCCACAGACTGATCAAAGCATCCCACGCTGTGGTGCTGGTGACAATTAAAAACCCCTGAGCACGAAGTGGCTGGAGTGTTGGTGTGAGTTCAGCCTCACAGAACTGTGGCTCTGAAGATGCCTGCAGGTCACTGACGGCAGAGAGCCCTTCAGCTGGAGCCTAAGGAGAAGCCCCAGGCAGGATGCTGCGGACTCTGAGGAGGGGCACTGCAAGCCGCTGGGCAGGAAGAGCGCAAGGGGGCCCAGAGGCTGGTGCCTTGGAACGCAGGGGAAGCCAGGTCCCTTCAGCTGGGCTGCAGCCCATGCAGGTGGTGTCAGAGGACACATCCAGACTGGGCCAGAAACAACCAGGGTACTGATCCAAACTGGGCTTAAATCGCCTCTGGAAGGGAAAGAAGAGAGCAGTGGGGCTGGCCATGGCCGTGCGTGAGCTGGAGCACGAGGCCGCGAGCAGTGGTCACCAACTACACACTCGGGGGTGCAGAGACTGTGGGCTCATCCTAGTCACAGCTTCCCTCATGCATATGAAATGTACAGCATAACATGTATGTATCTCATGAATGACATCATACACAGGGGCATCCAAGCCTACGCTTTGGTGTGGTAGGTGCAGCCCACGGGGTGCTGAGCACCCAGCGAGGGAGGTGGTCGCAGAGCGGGTGGTTCTGATACTGCAGACATGAGCAGACAGGGGCCGGCGAGGACGTCCAGAGAAAGAGTGTGCGTCGGCCTGAGGGCTTGTACTCCGTGCTGGCTAAGTGAGTTGGGAAGTGAAAGGAAGGCACAGCTGCACTGCAGGTAGAGGAAGAGACGGGACAGCAGGAGAGGCCAGGGCTGCGGAGGCCGGGGCTGCGGAGCCCGGGAGGCTCAGGTCACAGAAAGCAAAGAACCTTTGGCAGGGAGGGGGCAGAGCACCTGAGGTCCAGAAAAGCGCCCGGTCTGAGCAGGGAGGGCCGTGAGCAAATGGCAGCAGCACAGGGTCGCTCAGCACGGCCGGCTGGACCCCTAGGCAGCAGACGCAGGCCTACTCTGCTCCGGGAGGTATCTTGGGACCAGCAGGTGTGGGCAGCTCTTCCCCTCTGTCCTCCCTGCATGGAGCTGAGCAGAACCGGCTCTTGTAAGCACTTAGGGCTGGAAAGGTCCTTGTTACCCCGTGGCTTCTGGTCCTGGCCACCCTCCATCCATGAGGAGTGACCCCAGGCTCAGGTCACCCTGAGCTGGATATATCTGGCCCCGGAGCCGACTTCCCACGCCCCTCTTCCCAAACCCAAGTCCACGGCTCCCTGCTTGAACAGAGGCCCAGGAACTGAGGACGAGCTGTCGGGCACGGAGAGACTTACCCAGTCAGCCTCCGTGACCCCGAGACCGGGACCAGCGTCCCCAACCCAACACAGATTTCAGCTCCTTTTAATTTCGGCACAGGGCGGTGGGGGCTACACAGGAAGTGACTGATGGATGCAGGGGCTGGTACCCTGTGGGTTCCACACATCTGGCACTCACTCAGCCTCATGTTCACGTCTAAATGATTGATGGCTGTGTGCGCAGGGAGGGTCGGCTTCCTCCAGGGAAGGCTTTGGGGCAGAGCTTTCTTGGAACCATAAGCACAGCCACACCGAGGCCCTGCCCATTTTAGACTTTCTGCCAGACCGAGGTGGGAGGAGCCCTTGTGCTCAGGTGCCAGGCCTCACAGAGGGAAGGCCGCTAGGTGTTTCCTCCAGAAGCTGCATTTGCAGGAGCCCGGAGCTGGGCAGTCAAGGTGCGGGGCGGCAGCGCAAGTTCTGGTCCAGCAGATCTCGCTGGCCTCTGTAAGCCCAGGCGCTCCCGGGGCGGCTCCTGCAGACCGCGCTGGCAGTGGTGGCTTGGGCCCTTGCAGTGCCTGTGGCCAGGAGCACCACCCACCCACCCACCTTCTGTGTTCCGGCCCTTGGTTTGGTTTTGGGCTGCTGACTCCCAGCTGGAGCCTGAAGGTAAGATGGTGTGTGTTGAGGAATGCTGTGTGTTGTGGTCTCAGGTCATGCACGTAGGTGTTACGTGCAAGCAGATTAACCCCCACAGAAAAGTTCCTAAGGAACCAGCAAGGTAGCATGAAGATGCTGTGGATAGCAGCCTGACTCCGCTGGACCTGAAGTTAGGCAAAAACCTCCGCAGCCCCCGCCCACCTACCCCCGTCTCTTTCCACCCTGATATTTTCTGCCCTCTCCCCCGCCCCGGGAGCCAGCTGGTCTTCTCTGGCTGTAGCTGTCCCTTTGGCCCCCAGGAGCCCTCCCTTGGCCCCAGCTTCTGACCGCAGCCACACTGTAAACAGGCCCTGATGACCGGACAGCGGAGCAAGGCGTAGGAAGTGCACGCAAACGCTGCTGCTGGGTTCCATGGAGGAGTGATTATTTCTGCCTGTGGAGCCAGGGACAGTGATGGCTTCATGGAGGAGGCCACAGCTGACCTGTCCTGAGAAGACGCAAAGCTTCCAGCTGGCTGCTCAGGGGCAGTTGTGTGCGTCTCCAACCCCCGTGGGGCAGGGTCGGGTGCTGATGAGCCCCTTCTGGGGGATGGTGAGGACTGGCAGCCCCTGTCACCCCGCCCACAGAGCTTCAGCCCATGCCAGCAGGTCTGGTGTAAATCTCTAGCACATTGGGCAGCTGGGCACTAAGCCCTGGACAGAACCCCAGCATCCTGTGACCCCTGGCTGCTGTCAGTGGCAAGTTCTGTGTCTCCTCTGCTCACATCCTGCACACCCCGAAGGTCCGGCACTAGGTGCCCTTCCAACAGGCACCTGATACGGCGTCAGCATTGAAAATTCATACATCAAACCCACGTAACCTGCCAACCACCCTGGCCTGGCTGCCCCAACTGTGGAGTTTCTGCCATCCCCTGGGACCCAGGGCTGGCTGCCTGGCATTGAGAGGGAGGATCTGACTGCACAGCCAAGCCCCACAAGAGGATCACGTTTGCCACACAGCTGCTCCCAAGTGTGCTTGGCTTCTGAGTGACCTTGGAGCTGAAAGTCTTCAGTGGCGTGGAGTTTGGCACCGCCTGACTGAGTCTACACACAGCTCAGCACACAACACCCACTGGCTGGCAACCCACAGATCATAGCCTCCACGTCAGAGCTCTAGACCTACCCCACACCTGCCTGCCTCAGCCCCAGGCAAGAGCCGCCCTCCAGCCTCCCGCTCCATCCCGCTACCACACCGGAGCTCTGGATGCCAGCTGTGGCTTTCCCTCGCCGCCCAGCCCTCACACCAGGCTAGTGAGCACTGCTGGTTCCAAGCCTGAGCTCCCTGGAGCCCACTTGCTTCTGTGTCCCCAGGGGCACACCCGTCTGAGGCACTGCTGCCCCCTCAAGCTCCATCCAGAGAGGACCGGAAAGAACCACTGTGGGTGATGATTTAGAGAAATTTAAATCCTTGTTCGGTGATACAGTGCTGTGGAAAATGGTATAACACTTCCTCAGAAAGGCAAATGCTTGATCCAGCCATTCTGTGTCTGGGTGCACAGCCAAGAGAATGAAAAACAGGAGCTCAAGGAAGTGTTTGTGTGCCACGTTCATGGCAGGATCACGCACAACAACCACAGGTGGCAGCATGCAGCATCCATGAGTGACCGCAGAGGGAAGGCAGAGACAGCACAGAGAGGCCAGGAGCAGCAGCCGGCTTTGAGGAGGGAGGCCCTGTACCACACCACACCCGGCTCAAGCTCACAGACACCAAGCTAAGGAGACAAGCCATTCAGAGGGACAGGCAGCGCCAGCTTCACAGACTCAGCGGCTCCAGGGCCATCAGGGCGGGCCAGGTGCGCGTCCTTGGTGCTTTCTGGAAGCAGAATTTCCATTCAGGAAGTTGGGGACTTCCAGAGATGGGTAGCGGTGGAAGTTGCACGGCGTGCGCGTAATCAGCACCACTGCACTGCACACCCAGAAATGGGCACAGTGGTCGATTTTGTGTGTCTCAGAATGTCTGTTCTGTTCTGTTCCCCCAGGACACGATGGCTGAGGCTGCAGGGTCTAGGAAGCCGCTGGTGGAGGTGGCAGGGGTGCCCTTGCAGGCTGCCACCGTGGACAACTGGAGCCAGATCCAGAACTTTGAGGCTAAGCCGGACGACCTCCTCATCTGTACTTACCCCAAGTCAGGTGGCTGAGGCAGGGCAGCCCCGAAGGGCTCCATGTTGAGTTGGAATCCCTATCCTAAGACAGGGTGTGAAGGCACCTAAGACCCAGGTTCTGGGCCCAGGGGATGGTGCTGGGGCCATCGACTATGCCAGGTCTGCCCTGCTTTGGGTGCTTGACCTCTGTGGTTCCACTCCCCAAACAGACCAGAGATCCATCCTGCATGGCATCCCTCAGTCCCAGCTAGTGAGGTCCTGGCCATGGCACCCCTCAGTCCTGGCTATTGGATCCTTGCTAGAGGGATCCTAGCTATTAGGGTTCTGGCTAGTGGGGTCCTGGCCCTGGCCTCCCTTGGCCTTGGCTAGCAGGATCCTGGCCATGGTGTCCCTTGGTCCTTGGTAGCAGGGTCCTGGCCATGGCATCCCTCACTCCTGGCTGGTGGGGTCCTGGCCATGGCATCCCTCGGTCCTGGCTAGTGGGGTCTTGGCTAATGGGGTTCTGGCAAGCAGGGTCCTGGCCATGGCATCCCTCAAACAGGGCTAACAGGGTCCTGACCATGTTCCCCAGTCTTGGCCATGGTGTCCCTTGGTCCTGGCTAGAGGGTCTGGTTAGGGGGGTCCTGGCCATGGTGTCCCT